GAAAAAAAATTGAATCAACATAACGTATATGATGAAACTAAATTCTTCAATGAAAAAATGCGTCTGAAACAAAACAAAAATTTCAGGCATGCATATGTCTAGTTGTCTTCCTGTCAGCTTATATTTTACTGAATGTATAACTACTGTACACCATAATTGGTGTTTCCTCTATATATGCCTTGAGTTTAGCCCTAAAGCAAACCTGTGACCTGACTATGCACTCTACAGTAAAAGCAAGCCCCCATTCACCTATGTAGCTATAGGCATTGCCTATTCTTTTAGAACAGAATATTGGCAACCATTCAGCCCTCTAATGTAGATAACAACAGGTGTTTCCAGACTGTTAGAAACTCATTGGAGTTTAAAGTCTTTGCTGTGATTTTTAAAAAATTGATTATTTTTCAATATATGCAACTAGAGAGGTCTTTTATGTTTGTTTAGAAATTAATGTCCACTGTAACTATTAGTCATTTATAGGTAAAATGCATACTGTATATATTATCACATAAATTAATAAGAAAAGCTGCTTCTTTGCAACAGTTTACAGAAAAAAATAAAATACAAGCTAAAGCCCATGAAGTAATCTCTGAGCCTGATTGGATGGCCTGGAGAACATACCTTTCCTGGTAACTTCACTCTTAATGGTCCTTTCCAGCTATCAACTGTCATAACAAGCCCGTAGCTATGAGGGAAGTAAAATAAGCATAGGACCTAGGTTAATTGTTAAAAATTTTTAAAATGGTGGCACTTACTGGACTGCTCAAAAGAAGAGGGTTGATAGGGAGCAACTATGAGGGATATACTGTGGGGAGGAGTAAATCAAGCTTTAGTCAGAAAGCTGCAGTTATTGAGTGAGAATTCCTCCCTCCTGCCCTATGTATTGACTCTGGATTGTCTGGATTTCAGCACAACAGATAGTGGTGGCTTGGGATCCTTGAAGGTAAAGTTGTAGTGGAGAAAAAAACCCTAGATGGGACTTTAAAGGCATCAAACCAGTAGATAAAAATTACATCAATCTTTATTAAAAATAGATGTAGAAACATTTGTCAGCCATAAAACAGACGGTAAATTAGATGGTAAGTACAATAATACCATACAGAATTGTAGAAACCTTACAGAGTTCCTTAAATAGCATCCAACACGTTTCAGAGTAAGTCTACTCCTTCTTCAGGTCCAGACTCTGTACATGAATGGTATAGCCTCTAGAAGCTGAAACATACATATTCAAATCATACAGAAATTCTCTTACATACAACATAATTTTATAAACGTCAAAAAATGCAATACTTACCGCATTTTACAAAAGGAAAAGTCAGTGTTCCAACAAACAATAATGGAAATATGTTAGTGCATATACATACTGCCAGCGAGAAGAGGGTATTTTGGTTCTCAAAGTGGTTTGCATGGTATCAGACCTACAAACGGGACATCAATAATGCTGGTGAACCACAACCACATGCAATACATGGAGAAATAAAGGGAGAGAATAGATCAGAAACCAGATGGCTATTTTTCCATGCCTCCAGATACGAAGCCCTGTAAAAAGGGCCTATAACTGGTGGATTAGTTCAAGCCAAGAGGGGATGTTGCATGCAATTGTAAAATTCAATCGGAGTTCCAATTGTAATAGCAGCTTATTCCAATACCCTCCCCTAGGGCTTGGCTGTATCCGATCAAGAATGAGGGGCGAGATATCATATGTCGCCCCAAGGGCAATTCGGGATCACATGTTTTCATACTTTTGATGTGTCTATAAGCTCATCTCCAAAATTCCAATTTGGACTTACCCACATAGAAACATCCACATTCACACATCAAGAGGTAAACAACCCCAAAACTTTTGCAGTCAGCAAAATGTTTGGGTTTAAAACAATCCCCATTGGGCAATCTAGGTTCCACCTCAGTATGTATATATTTACAGTAGTTACAAGAACAACAGATAAAAGTACCCTTCAATTTACATGGATCTCTTGACCTATCACCCCTGTGCTTAGTTTTTGTTATTTCACCTTTTATAGATGTAGCCTTCCTAAACATAATTTGAGGGGCTGAAGATACAAACTTTCCTATTACAGGATCTATAGTGAGCAAGTGACAATATTTTTGGACAATATTTCAAATTTGGCCATGTTGGTTGGAATATTTCATAATAATTCTTGTACACTAATCTGTCCCTTTTACATTCCCATATAACAAATTACTCCTGGTGTTTTTGATTGCCCGTTTGTATGCCTTTTTCAAACAGGACTTGGTGTACCCTCTTTCCAATAGTCTAGCCCGTAGGGCATCTGCTTCCACCTAAAGGCCTTGCTCGTCTGAACAGTTCCTTTTAGTTCTTAAATATGGGCTGTAGGGGATAGATGAAACTAGTGGCTTGGGATGAAAATTACAGGCATGCAGAATGGTATTACCAGCAGTAGCTTTCTGCAAAAGTTTGCTGGTCAGGCTATCATCATTTTGCACTTGGATAGTGACATCAAGAAAAGTGACTTCCTTCAAGTCAGAAGTTATGATAAATGTAAGATTGAAGTAATTCTTATTCATCCTATTCAGGCATTTCAGTAATAAATAAACTGATACATCCCATACCATTAGGATATCATCAATGTATCAGCTCCACATGCAGATGTGGTCCGTATACATTGAGAGTCCCTCATCAGCCATAAACATCCTTTAAGGTGATTTAAATCTGGAATTTACAGCAAAACAGTTTGGCGTGATGTCCTCTAGTTGGCAAATGTCAACTCATAGTGACTGGGTGAATGTAGACTAGAATGTGTCTGATTTCAGCTGAGATCCTTGCATAGATAGAAAGAGCTGCAAGGGCTGGCACAGTGATAATAATGGGGGACTTTACCTACCTGGAAATTAACTAGAGTGTCAGGGCTCCCAGGTATGACCAGAGGTGTGTGACTGATGCAGGGAAACGCAGACTTCAGATATGTGATAAACAATACAATTTATTAACACTAACCATACAAACATAAACGCAGTGCAATACTAAACATAATACAGTGCAAACAAACCCAACCAATCACCCACAGATAACAGTACATACAAGCAAGCGTCGTCAGGCAGGCCGGGTCAATATCAATTGGGCAGGTAGGTACAGGGGGAGCAAGCAGAGAATGGTCGGGGTCACAGGCCAGGTTCAGCAGGTAGCAAGCAGCGTAGTACAGAGGGTCAGGCAGAGGGATGGTCAGGGTCACAAGCCAGGGATCAAAACAGGTAACAAGCAGCGTAGTACAGAGGGTCAGGCAGAGGGACAGAAACAGGATGCAGGACAGATACAGGGCCCAGGACAAACACAACACCAAGGCAGAGTCTGTGGGTCTGGCCATCCCTTAAATACCCCAGCATCATCAGTTCCAGGTGTTAGCTGGCTGAAAGGTTGAGTCTCTGATTTCTGGGAGCACCCGCTGGCCAGCCCTGATACTGCAGATTAAAAGGCAGGTGAGTCCCACCATTGCTGGCCAGTCCATTCCTGACAGTACCCCCCCCTCAAGGAGCGGCCTCAGGACGCTCCAAACAGTCCTAGCTGGGCAAAATGTTCCACCGCCCGGGTCTGGTAACTGGCGGGATATCAAAGACTGGCACACCGGGCAGGACTCCGGGCAGCGGCACACCGGGCTGGACTCCGGGCAGAGGCACACCGGGCTGGACTCCGGGCAGAGGCACACCGGGCTGGACTCCGGGCAGAGGCACACCGGGCTGGACTCCGGGCAGAGGCACATCGAGCAGAGGCACACCGGGCAGAGGCACACCGGGCAGAGGCACATCGGGCAGAGGCACATCGGGCAGGACTCCGGGCAGAGGCACATCGGGCAGGACTCCGGGCAGAGGCACACCGGGCAGAGGCACACCGGGCAGGACTCCGGGCAGAGGCACATCGGGCAGGACTCCGGGCAGAGGCACATCGGATTACCAGGCGAAGCAGCAGGCAGCGGGCCACCAGGCGGAGCAGCAGGCACCGGGCCCCCGGGCGGAGCAGCAGGCACCGGGCCCCTGGGCGGGGCAGCAGGCACCGGGCCCCCGGGCGGAGCAGCAGGCACCGGGCCCCCCGGGCGGAGCAGCAGGCACCGGGCCCCCGGGCGGAGCAGCAGGCACCGGGCCCCCGGGCGGGGCGACCGGCATCGGGCCCCCAGGAGGGGCGACCGGCATCGTGCCCCCAGGCGGGGCGACAGGCATCGTGCCCCCAGGTGGGTCGACAGGCATCGTGCCCCCAGGCGGGTCGACAGGCATCGTGCCCCCAGGCGGGGCGACAGGCATCGTGCCCCCAGGCGGGGCGACAGGCATCGTGCCCCCAGGCGGGGCGACAGGCATCGTGCCCCCAGGCGGAGCGGCGGGCGCCGGACCCCCAGGCGGAGCGACAGGTCTCGTGCCCCCAGGCGGAGCGGCGGGCGCCGGACCCCCAGGCGGAGCGACAGGTCTCGGGCCCTCAGGCGGAGCGGCGGGCGCCGGACCCCCAGATGGAGCGACAGGTCTTGGCCCCTCAGGCGGAGCGGCGGGCGCCGGACCCCCAGGCGGAGCGACAGGTCTCGGGCCCTCAGGCGGAGCGGCGGGCGCCGAACCCCCAGGAGGAGCGACAGGTCTCGGGCCCTCAGGCGGAGCGGGGGCGCCGGACCCCAGATGGAGCGACAGATCTCGGGCCCTCAGGCGAAGCGGCGGGCGCCGGACCCCCAGGTGGAGCGACAGGTCTCGGGCCCTCAGGCGGAGCGGCGGGTGCCGGACCCCCAGGCGGAGCGACAGGTCTCGGGCCCTCAAGCGGAGCGGCGGGCGCCGGACCCCCAGGCGGAGCGACAGGTCTCGGACCCTCAGGCGGAGTGGCGGGCGCTGGACCCCCAGGCGGAGCGACAGGTCTCGGGCCCTTAGGCGGAACGACAGGTCTCGGGCCCCCAGGCGGGGCGGCGGGCACCGAGTCACCAGGCACAACCGTGGGCTCCGAGTCAACTGGGATGACCGCTGGCACTGGGTCAGACATTGGATCGTCTGGCTGGACAGCGGGCATCGGGTCACCAGGCATCAGGTCATTTGGCTCGACAGCGGGGCACCGCGTCATCTGGCAAGGCAGTGGGCTCCGAGTCAACTGGTATGACCGCTGGCACTGGGTCAGACATTGGATCGTCTGGCTGGACAGCGGGCATCGGGTCACCAGGCATCAGGTCATTTGGCTCGACAGCGGGCACCGCGTCATCTGGCAAGGCAGTGGGCTCCGAGTCAACTGGTATGACCGCGGGCACTGGGTCAGACATTGGATCGTCTGACTGGACAGCGGGCACTGGGTCACCAGGCATCAGGTCATTTGGCTCGACAGCGGGCACCGCGTCATCTGGCAAGGCAGTGGGCTCCGAGTCAACTGGTATGACCGCGGGCACTGGGTCAGACATTGGATCGTCTGACTGGACAGCGGGCATCGGGTCACCAGGCATCAGGTCATTTGGCTCGACAGCGGGCACCGCGTCATCTGGCAAGGCAGTGGGCTCCGAGTCAACAGGCACGACAGTGAGCACCGGGTCATCAGGTACCGGATTGTCTGGCTCGACAGCGGGCATCGGGTCACCAGGTATGACAGCGGGCACTGGGTCACCAGGCATCAGGTCATTTGGCTCGACAGCGGGCACCGGATCAGGTACCGGATCATCTGGATCAACAGCGGGCATCGAGTCAACTGGCCTAATAGGATCGTCAGGCTGGATCAGTTCATCATGCTGGGTAGAGGCATCAGGCTGAATGCCGGCGTCCGGCTGAGTAGAGGCTTCAGGCCGAGTAGAGGCTTCAGGCCGAGTAGAGGCTGCAGGCCGAGTAGAGGCTGCAGGCCGAGTAGAGGCATCAGGCCGAGTAGAGGCATCAGGCCGAAGAGAGGCATCAGGCTGAAGAGAGGCATCAGGCTGAAGAGAGGCATCAGGCTGCGTACCGGCATCAGGCTGAAGAGAGGCATCAGGCTGAGTAGAGGCTTCAGGCTGAGTAGAGGCTTCAGGCTGAGTAGAGGCATCAGGCTGAGTAGAGGCATCAGGCTGAGTAGAGGCTTCAGGCTGAGTAGAGGCTTCAGGCTGAGTAGAGGCTTCAGGCTGAACCACGGAAGGCAGGCTCACGGTTTGGATACTGGCAGGATGGTATTGGTTGGAAAGAATTTTCGCTTTTTTCTGGTTTTAACTACTGGAGCACTGCAAGTAAACGCAGGTCTGCAAACGAATGGAGCAGCTGGAGACAGAGAAGAACTGGAGGATGGAACAGGAGAGGGAGCAGTTGCTACAGAGGGCTCTTTTACAGGGTTAAAGGCAGGATAGGTGCAGCGAGTGGGAACAGGGTACTGACATGCGGTAGATAGCAGGGCAGGAGGAGCTGTTGGGAATGCAGGAATAGAGTTTTGAGGAAATAGATTAGAAGCAGGACTGGGTCTTTGTAAGCTGACTGAGGCTGGGTGCAACAAATCTGTCCATGTCTGCAGTATGGGTTGAACAAAGCTGAGCTTACACAAAGCCTGTCTGGTCAATGACTGCACTGCGTTTATACAATCTCTTAGTGTCTGTGGTGAACATGTGGAATAACGCTCCAGAAAGTAACCCACATCATCCTCTAATAACCACACACAGGGACTCTACCTGGTCTGCACTAAATGGTGGCAAAAATTCATCCCTGCATTCGGGGGTACCAGATGAAACCAACTCAGCACAAACCTCAATCAATGGCTGCACCTCAGAGAACTCTGTGCCCTGATCTACTAGAACATGAGCGAGCCGTATACATTCTAGCAGTTCATCCCGGGGATACTCCTTCAGAGTTTGATAAGCATACTCCCTGTCATCAAACACTAGCAGATATAAATATTCAACCTCATCAAGATCCATCCTTCCCATCAACAAGCCAAGATGGCTTCCCTGTGCAGCCACTTCTGGTCAGGATTGGCCTTGGTGTAATGTCAGGGCTCCCAGGTATGACCAGAGGTGTGTGACTGATGCAGGGAAACGCAGACTTCAGATATGTGATAAACAATACAATTTTAACACTAACCATACAAACATAAACGCAGTGCAATACTAAACATAATACAGTGCAAACAAACCCAACCAATCACCCACAGATAACAGTACATACAAGCAAGCGTCGTCAGGCAGTATCAATTGGGCAGGTAGGTACAGGGGGAGCAAGCAGAGAATGGTCGGGGTCACAGGCCAGGTTCAGCAGGTAGCAAGCAGCGTAGTACAGAGGGTCAGGCAGAGGGATGGTCAGGGTCACAAGCCAGGGATCAAAACAGGTAACAAGCAGCGTAGTACAGAGGGTCAGGCAGAGGGACAGAAACAGGATGCAGGACAGATACAGGGCCCAGGACAAACACAACACCAAGGCAGAGTCTGTGGGTCTGGCCATCCCTTAAATACCCCAGCATCATCAGTTCCAGGTGTTAGCTGGCTGAAAGGTTGAGTCTCTGATTGCTGGGAGCACCCGCTGGCCAGCCCTGATACTGCAGATCAAAAGGCAGGTGAGTCCCACCATTGCTGGCCAGTCCATTCCTGACATAGAGTAATGGCACTGCAGGAACAGTTAAAGGGCAAAAATTTATAAACCTATTACAAGACAATTTTATGGTACATTTCATAAAGGCCCTAACTAGGAATGATGCTCTGCTGGAGCTGGCAATCTCAAATCATGCAGCGCTTATTACTAATGTTCAATTAAAAGAACATCTGGGTAGTAGTGACCATAACATGATCTCAATTAATGTTAGCTGTAAAAAACAAGCACATACTGGAAAGATAAAGACACTCAATTTTAGGAGAGCAACTTTTCCAAGGAGGGGGGCTGCTCTCCAAGGCTTCAACTGGGAGGGAATATTGGCACCAATGAACACAAAACAGAAATGGCAATTCTTCAAAAAGACCGTATGCGAACACACTGCAAATATATTCCCATGGGCAATAAGTTTTAAAAGCTAAAAGTAAAACCTATGTGGCTCACTGCCAAAGTTAAAAAAGCTGTAAATAATAAGAAAAGAGCTTTTAAAAAATACAATAATGAAGGAACACTATCATCAAGTAATTGTTACAAGGAATATAAGAGAATATATAAAAAGGAAATCAGGGCCACAAAAATTCAAAACGAGCTACAGATTGCAGAAGATAGTAGGGCAAACCCCCGAACATTCTTTAAACATGTTAATAGTAAAAAGGTCAGGTCTGAGTATGTAGGCCCTTTACAAAATAATCTAGAGTGGGTGACTGGGAACAAAGAGAAGGCAAATGTATTAAATGCCTTTTTCAGCTCTGTGTATACAAAGGAGCATGGGGGAGCTCATGTCCATAATGGGGATGATAGTGACACAGTTCCAAATGATCCACAATGCTTCAAAATTGATATGGTCCAGAAATATTTAGACAGAATAAAAGTGAATAAAGCACATGGACCAGATGGCATACACCCACAGGTCCTAAAAGAATTGGGCTCTGTTATTTCAAAGCCATTGTTTCTAATTTTTAGGGAATCTTTACTGACTGGTATAGTATCACTGGATTGGCATAAGGCCAATGTGGTGCCTATATTTATATAAAAGGGTCAAAGTCTTTACCAAGTAACTCTAGGCCTGTTAGTTTAACTATAGTTGGGAAGATACTGGAGAGTTTAATTAAAGACCACATAGATGAGTTCTTGCAGGAAAAAAATATTTGAAGCAACAGACAGCATGGATTCATGAAAGACAGAAGTTGTCAAACAAATCTGATTTCTTTATTTGAGGAGGTAAGCAAAACCTTAGACAAAGGAGTAGCTGTGGACATAGTGCACTTGGATTTTGCAAAATTGTTTAACACAGTTCCCTACACAAAGCTAATGTGTAAGTTCTATAGGCTTGTAAATAGATACAAAATTGGCAAAAAGACCGTATTCAGAGAGTAGTGGTTAATGCTTCATTCTCTGAATGGTCTAGGGTTGTTAGTGGTGTACCCCAAGGTTCACTTTTTAATTTTATTTATAAATGATATAGGGACTGGAATTAAAAGTACCATTTCAGTCTTTGCAGATTACACCAATGGAATAACATCTTTACGGGTTTGTCTCCAACTTACAAGCCAACCTCAATGCACTGTTCAATTGGGCAACTATGTGGCAAATGAGGTTTAATGTTGATAAATGTAAAGTTATTGTCAAGGTCCTACCTTTCCTCAGAGATTGTGTTGCTCCATGTGCTGGCATCCATCTTAAGTTCCTGCAAAGCATGGTGGGAGCCTTTATACTTTCAGGTCTCTGCGGCTCCTCCTCCAGAAGGGTGTGGCTGATCACATTTAAGCCTGCTGTCTGCAGTTGCTCTTTGCATTCGTGTCCTGTATGTTCCTTTGCAGCAAGCTCTTGTTCTGTTCTCGTTGCTCTCCTGGTAACCAACTCAACTTGGACAAGACTATTCTCTGATTTATCCCATTACCTGACCTCCCGTTGCTGAACCCGGCCCGTGACCTGAGTATTCTTGTCTACCATCTTGTACTGTTTGCTCCGTTGTGATCGACCACGCCTGTCCAACCACGCTATACGTTTTTCCATCTGGCTCCCACCAGCTGTACGCCATTGGCGGCAGTCGTAACCGCAGCTGGGGTTACTCGGGGGCCGTGACCTGGTCTCAGGCTGCGTCAAGTCCATCCCCACCATCAGGGGCCCTGGTGAAGGGCAGCCTGGGGCTTAGACTCCGCGCCCTGACGGACTCTGGTCTGTGAGTAGCGGCTGTTGTCAGTCACTGCATGACCCTACCATTAGGCCTGCCTGCCCATTCCTCGCTCCTGCCCTGACAGTTATGCAATTGGGGCCTAAGAATATGCATGCATCATACATACTGGATTACAGAAGGATTTGGGTGTTCTGGTAGATCATAAGCTTAATAATGGCATGCAATGCCAAGCTGTGGTTTCCAAAGCAAGCAAAATCCTCTCTTGTATTAGAGAGGTTTAGACTCTAGAGCAGTGGTGTCAAACTGGCAGCCCTCCAGCTATTGCATAACTACAAGTCCCATCACGCCTCTACCTTTGGGAGTAATGCTTGTAACTGTCAATCTTGCAATGCCACATGGGAGTTCGGCACCTGTGCTCTAGAAAGAGAGAGATATATCATTTTACCCCTGTACAAATCATTAATAACACCTCATCTGGAATACGCAGTTCAGTTTTCGGCCCCAATTCACAAAAAGAATATTGGGGAACTGGAGAAAGTGCAGAGAAGGGCAGCCAAACTGGTAAGAGGCATGGAGGAGCTCAGCTATAAGGAAAGATTAGAGGAACTGAATTTATTCTGTCTTGAGAAGAGATTAAGGAGGGATGTGATCAACATGTATAAATACATCAGTGGTTCATATAGTGAACTCAGTGTAGAGTTATTCATTTTCAGGTCATTACTGAGGACAAGGGGGCCATCTTTACGTCTGGAGGAAAAGAGATTTGCTCTTCTAATTCAGAAACTCTTCTTCACAGTAAGAGCTGTGAAGTCGAATAGACTCCCTCAAGTGCTAGTTATGGCCAGTTCAGTAGGTTGCTTTAAAAAGGGCCTGGATTCTTTCCATTAAATATACCTGGATACTATTTATAGGTAAAGTTGATCCAGGGAATGTCTGATTGCCTCTTTGGGGGGTCAGGAAGGAATTTTTTTCCCCTGCTGAAGCAAATTTGATCATGTTTTGCTGGGGATTTTTTTGCCTTCCTCTGGATCAATTGTGGGTATAGGATTGTGCATATGGGATTGTTTTTTTTTTTTTT